TTCCAGCTCAACTCTCCATGTAAATTTGACAAAAAATTGAAAAAAAAATAAAGCTTCAGATTTACCATGAACTCAAACTGGAGATGAAGTGCGAACGGCGACTTCACTCTCCCCTCACTCACGAGGAGGAGGTGAGTGAGGGAGAGTGAGGTCACCATCGGTCATCACTAGTTCTAGTTCATGGTAAATCTGAAGCTTTATTTTTTTTTTCAATTCTTTTGTCAAATTTACATGGAGAGCTGAGCTGGAAGTCCAAAAAAGAATTTATAACTGTATTTTTTTCCCGATAGGATGGTTCAATGATGACGTGGCATGGATTATATATGATAAGAACAAATTATTAACAATAAAAAAGATGAGGGACTGGGTTTTAAACGAGTTAAATTTTTTGGACAGGAGTCATAACGAGTTATAGTTGAGAGACTGAGTTTTTTAAATGAGTTAAAATTTCAAGGACGAAAAGATTAATTTTCTCTTTATTTATTTATTTTCTTGCAGCTTATATTATAACTGTTTAGAGTTTCCATCTAAGTAAAGTACATGCGCGTTTTTAAAGTTTTGGCTTGAAATCATGTAGATATATATATATATATATATTTGCAAATATATATCTTTAGACCTTTTACTTGACGCAAGATATTATTTTGATCTCTTAATTTTATAAAGTGCCTTTTTAATTCTTTACTCTTATCCGTTAGCTTTATTAATAATAAATGTAAATATTAAAATTTTAAATGTTCATAAATATTCATAAAAACTGCTATATTAAATTTATTTTTTAAGACATAATAATGATTGGCACACAAAAAATTTCATGTGAGACTTGATTGACACAAATATTTTAATAATAATGGTGTTAGAGTTACGCTGTGTTTGGCTCAACAAAGAGAAAGGGAGAAGAGGAATGGGGAGGGTAGCTACAAAAGAGAGGAGAGGGATTTTAATGATCTCTTGTTTGGATTGATTGGAGGGGAGGGGAGGGAGCAATTTTAATAATACCTTATTTTGTTTTAATAAAAAATTGACTATTTTAACTTCATAAAATTTAAATGAATTTTCTCGCTTTTTTATTTTGTTAAGATATAATTATATATAATGTAATTTACCAATTTTGATTTACAGGACACAGTCAAACACTTATAGGATATCAAAATAAAAATTCGTAAGTGATATATTTCAATCAGAGAAAAGACCTTGAAAGTGAAAGAAGATACCGACGGCCTCTTAGAATTAGAAGAAGAGGGGAAAAAAAGGTTTACAAATGCTTGTTAATTTTGGAGACAATTATCTCAACAATCTCTTGCTAGCTGTTCAAATAACTCTCTTATGTAGAAATATTTACGACTAATGATTAGGGTTTAACAAATCAAAAGGGTATATGAGGAATTAAAATATTATCTCTCATCTCCCCTCCAAAAAAACTCCACTTTTAAGAGAAGCTAGAAGGGAAGAGGAGGGAGAAAAGCCTCTCCCCTCTTTAAAAAATATTTTAACCAAACAAGGGGAGGGGAGTTATCCTAAAAAATTGCACTAGCCAAACAAGGGGAGGGGAGCAACTTCCCTCCCTTCCCCTCCAAAAATCTCGTACCAAACATAGTATTAATGTACTAAAAATATATTTTGTAAAATTAAAAGACTAAATTGAAACCTTTATTTGTATGAAATTAGAGGACCAAGGAGATTTTTTTTCTTTTTTCTTTTAATTAATTTAAATTTGATTATTTGAAACAAATGCAAATAAATTCCATAGACCTCATGTGAGTTTTGATAAACCCCACAGATTCACCTAGTATAAAATGCATACACTGTTCCTGATTTTTTTCCTCCAAAAATTCATTAAAATTTCCTTTCATTTTCAAAAGAGATTTTCATGTGAGCCATAAATAGTTTAACTCGTATCTTAGACTTTGTGCAATGGATGAAATTATTTAGTTTTATTACCTGTTACATGGACAATAAGTATGAATATTGTACTCAATTCCTGATGCAGAGCATGTTAAAATCATCAGAGAGATTTCCACAATTCAATCAGTCGTTCTAAGTTGTCAGCTGAAAGACATGCTTCAGAATGTTGAGTTCTATAAACCCATCAAATTTGTGTACCATCCAAGAGAACCATTCTTTCTCATCAAGCAGGTACTAATTTCCAATATTATGTTCACTCAAATCAAAATCCCACAATCCTCATCAAGTTTGAAAATCAAATACTCTGTTTCTTTCTTTCCCCCGCTAATACCCTGTTCCAACTGTTATTTCTTTCTGATTTTCCATTTAATTTCATGATATATTGTGAAGTAAGTCGCACAAATAACTCCTAAATTTTTCAAAAATTACACAAACCTCTCTTTTATACATAGATCTCCTCTTTATTTTCAAAGTCTCCAGAAACTTTCCAAGAAACAAGGATGAAAATACATAAACTTGTTTAGGATTTTATTGAAATTATATGAACATCTGTGTTTTTTTTTTAATCAAATATGTACTAGCTTTCCTTCATAATATAAGGGACGTCTTTGAAGTTTGAACACTCAAAGGACATCTATGTAATTTAGCGTTTGCTTTCAGAAAAAAAGTTTGTATAGGCTTTGAAAGTAGAAAGAAAGCTCATATAATTTCACAAGACTTAAGGAGGGTCTTTTGAATTTTGGCAAAACTCAAAAGGTAAATGACATATGTTCTACGTCATTTGAACTTTGAAGTACTTTTATATTCTAATAAAAGAAATCAAAGTTCTGATAATCACAATGACATGATTGAGATTAGGATTCATAAACCATAAACAAGAATTACTAATTCAGCTTTGTCATCTGTCACAGTTGTTCATATTCTAGTGCTTATCCATGTTGACTATTTATATGCTTCACACAGCCTCAAAGAATCATAGCAATTTTCCCAATTCGTTTCAGAGAAAATGCAGATGTCATTATTGCAACAGCTTTCTTTCAGGTACATGGACTACTTTTAGTCCTCAATATAAGACATAATTAACTAATTTGGAAAGATTAATTAAAAAAATTAGTTAAGTTGGTTACTTATAATAAATATGTGTTGTCTTTCCTAGAATCATGTATATTAGCTAAAACTACTATTTAGTGGAACTTTTAACATGTATAACTACTATAAAAATTACTTTGAAAAAAAATGAATAAATATAAAAGGCAAATTAGATTGAGTTTTATATTTAGAATCGAATTAAAAGTCAAACTAACTCTTATATTAAAAACCGAGAGTAATATATAGCTATAGATCTTCTCATTTTAAAGAAAATATGACCATTATTTAGTTAATTTGGATGGTCCAAGTCTCTTAATAATTTATTTAAGAAAATAAATTTAGACCGTCAAATCAATTAAATAGTTAGAATTTGCTCAAAATGAATCATTTTCCCATCACATAATTAGCTTATGAATTGTGACATAGCACAAATAAGTAATTAATTCTCAACATTTTTTTTTTTTTTTTGCGTTTTGGTAAATCTTTTCTACACCGGTTAGCAACAATCAGTGTAGAATAGTTTTTTCCTACAATGGTTCAATAATAATCAATGTAAAAATATTAGACTTTCTATACTAGCTGTATCTAATTCAGTTGAATAACCGGTATAAAATGGCCTTTTTGCACTAGCGATAATTTTTTTCTCTTATTTCTTGATAATTAATGGCAGGAACTCATGGATGTTGGAAACTCAGATAAATGGGCCAAGGCACCACGATGTTCATGGTCAGCCATTCCTCCTCCAGAGTTAAGAGGAGAAGCATTCGAGGATTTGAGTACCAATGGAGGATTCGTCTCTTTCGGTATCGGTCCTTAAACTTCGACTCAAATATTAGTAACAAAAGAATTGCTTGATAAATATATGGATTCTAATGCACGTGGATCACAGATATCTCTTCACACCATGTTGAAGGCAAAAGACCGGACAAGATTCTATGGAATCTATTAAACTTCAACGCATATGTGAGATACCATGTTAAGGTAATATTTTGTGTACACGTTAGTTCTAATTAAAAATCAGTGTTTTTATGAAATCTTCATTTAATACTACGTCGCAGAGCACTGAAGGTTATATACAAAGAAGGATGAGGAAGAAGTTGAAAAGTTTGGTTGAGGTAAACAATAATTTTAAGTGTGACATTATGATATTATATATATGTACTGTTTGTAGAATAACACATTGACTGAACACACACTCTCTCTCTATATATATATACTCCGATCCTTAATATATGACTTAATTGTTGAGTTGATTTTGATCCTAAATATAAGATATATTTCTTATATTTTTTAATTTTTTCTAAATTACCCATATGGATACTCTGTCGACTATAATCAAGTGAAAGAGGGAGAGAGAATATTAAGGAAGATGATTATAGTATTTAAGGAAAAATATGTCATATTTCTTATAATTAACTAATTTACTTAACTTTCTTAATCTAATCAAATTAGTTAAACAGGTTTTATATTAGAGACCAAAAGAGTATTATATAATCCAGCTAGGCAGATGCTAATTCGGTTTCTTCGTATGCAGGTTCTACACCCTACAAGCTTAGAGGAAAACAGACAACCCAAAAGACTAGAAGGTCAACTTTCAGCTGCCAATTAAGTTTCAAATTCAATAATATCATTAATTAACAAATTAAGACTGAGTTTTTTTTAATCAAAACAAATAAACACTGATAAAACAAGCTAAGTTCGTAATCTTATTTTGATGCTACAATAGTGTGCATAAATATTTTAAAAAACAATATTCCCTCAAGTCCTGTATGTAAGGACTAGATTGGGTTAAGGTGCAAAATTACCCTAAAAGTTTTCACTTTGGAGTGCTTGGTATCCAACAGTTTTTTTAGGAGCAAATTTGCCTCAAAAATTTAAAATCATAGCAATATTGCCTTTTGCTGTTAAAAATGTTAATGGTTAATGTCATTATTTTAACAGTCAATATTAGTTTTTCTTGATGGTAGGGAACAATATTATTATGATTTTAAACTTCCGGGTTAAATTTGCTCCTAATCAAACTTTGAGATAACGAGAGTTCCTGATTAAAAACTTCTGGGACATTTGTACCTTAACCCATAATTAATTTGCAGAGATCAAAAAAATTCGCTAAGTTAACCTTAACCCATAATTAATTTGCAGAGATTAAAAAAATTAGTTAAGTTAGTTATTTATAAAACATGTGTATTTGCACTGGAGACTGCTCTTTGGATTGATAATCTTGTTAACAAGTGCAAATAATAGGGAGAATTGAGGGAAAAAAAACTTATAAATTTAGGAGATAAAGTAAAATGATATCTTAAATTTAGGATTAGAATAAACTCTTCTATTAGGTCTTACATTTAACACTACTTCCGGTTCTTAATATAAGAGCTAGTTGACTAATTTGAATATATTAAAAAAATTAGCTAAGTTAGTTATTTATAATAAATATATGTTGTTTTTCCTAAAATATCTTTGTTAGCCAAGTGTATTGGCTAGAACTACCATTATTACAAGAACTACCTTGAGAAAAATAGACAAATATGAGAGATAAAGTGGATTGAGATATTAACTTTAGGACTAAGATAAAAATTAAATGAGTTCCAAGATTGGAGGTAGCACTTAATAAAAAATCATAGAAGTATAGCAAAGTCTACATTACTTAAGGATTATTTATGAAAGCAATATGAAGCCAAAAAAACTTGTTTCTGATTTATTTCGTATAATATTTGTTTCCAATTTGCAGGATGTAAGTACGTGAAGAAACTAGTAAGATCATCGAAAAATAAAATCCTGAAACGAAGATGGGGTGGTTTTAGCAGACAGATAAAAAGAATTCGTTCCAGACTTAAAATTCATGGGTTTGGAAGATTTCGTCAAAAGTGGTTGAGGTTCCCAAAATTTTCATCAAATTCAAAGGGATATACAAAATTAGAGTAATTCTTTTTTCAGTTTTTTATTTTTATGAAATATGCAGACTTGTATGAAGTAAGTCTAGAATAATAATGCTTCAGCTCACTACATTTTTTTTCCCTTTTGAACAAATATCAAATTCCAACAAATTGATTATTGTAGACAAAAGAAGCATTCATGCTTATTTCTTCCCAAATTTGTCATGGAGCAACATCAAACAAAATGTAGATCCTATTAACCTGCACTCACCAAAGTAAAGGTAAATGTATCATAGCATTCAAAAGGAGATAAAAGAGAGAATAAGCGGATGATATGGGTCCCACGCAGCATAAGGGTGTGATAGGAAGTTTGTTTTAAGGAATGTAACATACCAAAATATTCACTTATAATCTCTTTCGTATGAGAAAAATGAAGAGGAGGAGAAGAGAGGAAAAATTTTAATGAGTTTAGCTTAAAAGAATTGGAGAAGTGGGATTATGAAATTTTAGTAAAGGAATATATGTGTGTGTGTGTATATATAAGATAAAATGGTAAGAAAAATTAATTTAAAACTTTCTTCAATTTTTTTTAAAATCAAACTCATTACAATTTTTTCTTCTTTTCCCATTTCTCTATTTCCTTCGTACCAAATAGATCATCGAAGCAATAGCGCTGTTCATTGCAAACAAATGAGTCATATACTAACTAAACAACATCTTAACCATGCCATGATGTAGCTTCCTTCTAATTAAACGACCCGGCCGAAACACCTCTCCTCTCTTTTATTTCTTACTTTCTTTTGTTAGGTTTAGGCTTTCGTTTTTGGATTTGTTTTGGGTTGGGTTGACTCTTAAGTTGCCATCAACATTGACAAACTAATTCATGTGTATTTCAAAAATTGAATTACAGGGAACATTAAAAAAAAAAAAAAGGTAATATAAGGACATAAAACAAACAGAGCCAACCAAAAGGTATAGGTAAAAAGGGGTGTGGGTATATATGTGGTTAAATTGCGTGTTTCATAGTTGGTACCAAACCGAAATAAAGAAAAGTGTTGTGTTCAACTCTCGACATCTGTCATGAATTTTTGTCCAATCGTCTATGATATAAGTCAACGTAAAACTCTTATTTAACAATTTATTAAAAGGTTTCATTGTGACATGGTGGCTTTCTATGATCCATAGCACATAATGAACTCTTATTGATTAGTCCAAAGTTCTTCTAATTATTTATGCCAAAAAAGAAGATTTTTTTCGGGGTGTATTTCTTTAAGTTTTGTATTTATTTTCAAATTGGTTATTTTATTGGTAACTAGACCATCTTTTTTTCAATCTTTTTTTTTTATAAAATAAAAATAGAAAAATGTGATTTATTAAGAAATTCAATAAAAATATATAATACTATCTCCATTATTTCAAATTAAGTATTTTCTTGTGCCAAAAATAACAAAAATAAATAAAAAATGATTTGCATTCTTGCGATTTATGTTTGAAAAAAGTATAGTCAATTACTCAATATTTATTTCAACGATAGTGCATTCTTTTTTTTTTTTTTGGGCTAAAACAAAGTCAATTTTATTAATCACGAAACAAATCAAGCACAACCACCAATAGCCAATCGAAGCCAAATAATCTCTCTGAAAAAAAAAAAAGGCCTAAAGTACAACCCACCTACCAAAAATAACAAAATGCAAGAAATACAAAAAAAAAAAAAATAGCGGTTGACAAAACAACATATATCACAATAACAACTTAAAAAGACTCAATAGCTGACCAATCAGCCAATACATTTCCTCATCCAAGGTCGAGCCTTCTATTCCAAGGTGTGTTCATGCAAAATGGCTGTCGTCGGAGATTCACTGACCAGATATCAAAGTTGGGGCACATCCCCTTACATGCCTTAGCCGCTAGAAAATCTGCAGCTCTATTGCCCTGGTGATCCACTGGAGAAAAAGAACAGTTAGACAAAGATTCTTTGGAACATAGCAGCTCCTCAACTAGATTAGCACACTACCATTCACAATTCCCTAGTCTGGCTTTAATAATCATATTAAATAACTCATTACAATCCATTTCAAAACAAACGTGACAGGATGCAAATTCGCTACACAACCCAAAGGCTTCCTTTAAAGCCAAATCTTATGTTATTAGATTAAATCCTGTTGTAACTTTTCTGCATAAAATTCCCACTACAATAGATTCATTGTTTCTGCGAATTACACCCACACCAGCAAAACCATCCGCCTCGTCATAAGTTGTAAGCACCATCAGTGTTGATTTTTATAGTACCCACAGTAGGCTTCGTCCAGTGATTTAGCCGTACCTCTTTATCACAACATATTTACATGCTCATTACTGGCCCATTAACCTTTGCATTCACAAATTCCTGTACTAGTTTAAAGACTTCGTTAGTTATTACAACTATTGAAACCACTCTAATATCCTTGAAAATCTAATCCTATCTCGATTTCCAGATCTACCAACTCACAGATGCAATCATAGCTTTCTGCACCCTATCCATCTTGCCATTCTTAACAACGTTTCCTTATACTACTTCCCAAAATTGGAAATTGCATCCTATCAATTTTGATTCCCAAATTGCAGCCAAACAAATACTTCTAGGACCAAGGGTAGAATAATATCAAATGTTTAATTATCTTAGCTAGGCTCATTTCTGCACACTGGACAGAGCATATCTTTAGAATATTTCCTTGTATACAGTGTTTCTTTTGTTGCTATCGCCCTACTAAGAAGTCTTCAAATAAATTGCTGCGCTTTGGGTGGGACCACCAATTTCCATATCTTTTTCCAAAGCTCTTTCGACAGTTGATAAGAAGAATTAGGATCCTTCTTCAGACTAAATCCTTTTTCTTCTTTCACTGCATAATAACACAATTTAACTGTGTACATGCCATTCCTCACATACGACCAAATTAGCTTATAACAACAATCCTAACTTGGAATTTGAATTTTTAATATCCATTGCTTTTCTTCGTTGCTGAAGCAATCATTAATGATATCTAGACTGCACTATTCTCCCTTTATTAAATCAATAACCATCAAATTATTTCTCTAACTATCTACATTCAAGTCACTCAATATGCATCTACTCAGATCAGGTAACCATCTAACCCACCATACACTGATGTTATTACCATTTCCAACCTTCCAATATAAATTTTTCTTTAACAATTCCCTTTCCTCCATAATACTAATCCTACACCATGAAGATTTCCTACACTTCTTTGATTGTATGAAATCAAGCTTGGAGAAAAACTTCCCTTTCAAGATACTACTCCACAAATCAGTTGGTTTATGGATCCATCTCCATGCTGTTTTGGCTACAAGAGTTTTGTTGAAACATAGAAAATCTCGAAATCCCAAACCCCTTCGCCCTTGTTTGCATTCAACAATTTCAATCTCTTCCAATGTATGTTACTGATATTCTCCTACTCTTGCCACCAAAAATTGCCCGCTAAAAGATCAATTTCCATGGAGGTTCTTTTAGGGAAGAGAAAACATGTCAGAGCATAATAGGTTAGAGCTTGCTATAGCTTTAGTTAAAATTCCAAGAGAAAGTCAAAAAGTTTCTACTTCTAGCCTTATTGTTTTAAACCCACCTTATCCCTCACAAGCTAAAGTAGATGCTTTCCACCTCCCCAAAATAATTGGTAGTCCCAAGTATTTACCATGTTGATCCACCTGCTTAATCCTTATAGCAGTAGATACATCTTCACAAACATCTTTAGGTGTATTGTCAGAGAAGTAAATACTAGATTTCTCAAGATTCCCCTCTTTTCCTAGAGCGAAGCAACACATCTAAAAGATTTTCCTCAATATTAAGCAGTTAAACGGATCAGCATTAACAAAGACCAAGACA